CTTCTGGTAGGATGGTCATTTTCACAATACTAATTCTTCCAATCCATAAGCATGGGAGGTCCTTCCATCTTCTGATGTGTTCCTCAGTTTCTTTAAAGATTTAAAATTTTCATTGTAGAGCTCTTTAATGTCTTTGGTCAGGTTTACTCCGAGATGTTTTATTTTTTTTTGCAAGTATTGTGAACGGGAGTGTTTCCATGTGCTCTTTCTCTGATTGCCTGTTATTGGTATATAGAAAGGCTATAGACTTTTGTCTTCTGACCTCTCCGGGCATTGCATGACACGGATGCTCTTTCATACATGGCAGACAATACACACATACACATAAAATAAAAATAATAAAATATTAAAAAAAATTATTTGTGTTTGTGCCTCCACCATGTATGTGTGGGTGCCATGGAGGCCAGAAGAGGTAGATCCTCTAGCTGGAGTTACCTGTTATAAGCCTCCTGAAATGGGTGCTGGGAATCACTCTTGTGTTCTTCTGGAAGAGCAGTAAGTGCTGTTAACCACTGAACTATGTCTTCAGCCTCTGAAGCATGTAGTTGTCTACTGATTGTCATCTCATGGAAAATTGTTATTTACATATTCAGATGATAGGGCTTTAGGTTAATGGAACAAAAAAAATTCAGAAGAGGTGTTTCAAGAGGGAATTTGATCAAAGAAAAGATTATAAATTGCAGGTGCTTTTTTTTTTTTATCACCTAGATAAAAATGTTAGTTGTCTTTCTTAAGATTCATGATTACAACTCCAGTGAGTTGCTTAGTAGTTGTACTTTTTGTAGTGTTTTCTCTTGTTTTTTTAAATTTATTTTTCAAAGAAATTTCTATTAGTGTATATTAATTATGTAACATAATCCTCATTATGACATTTCACACACACATAATTTGTGTATAATGTATGTGTGAGAGTGTGAGTGTACCTGTGCCATGCCATGAATGCAGAGGTAAGAAGGCAACTTTCACGAATTGATTTTTCTCTTTCCACCTTTATGTGGGTTCTGGGAATCAAATTCAGGTCATCAGGCTCCTGCATCAAGCACTTTTACCCACTGAGCCATCTCTCTTGCCCTTGAATTTTTAAATTTGTTTTTATGTGTTATCTTGCCTGCATGTATATAAGTGCACTCATATTGTATAATACCCACAGAGATCAGGAGAAGGCATCAGGTGCTTTAGAACTGGGGTTATAGATGGTTGTTAGCCATCGTGTGGGTTCTGGGAACTGAAACTGGATCCTAAGAATTGGTATAATATGACATAAGGAGTTACGATTTTGTATTTGTTGATAGTTGA